CATGTGTTCAGACACCCTGGTCAGCAATGCAACGAGAATGCAAATAGGTTCCTGCTTGTGGAGGCCTGCGCCCGTCTTCACATGTGCATTGGGAACACTTTCTTTGACCGCTCCCAAGAGAACCTGGCCACGAACTGCAACGCAGGATGTGCGCTCGGATGCCCAATCACGCCACAGACCCACTCGCAGATCGATTTCCTGTTGTGCCAACAAGACTGGCTTCACAATGTGCGGGACGTGCGCGCTGAACCAGCTGCCCCTCTCGCCTCGCACCATTTTCTGCTAATTGCCAACGTTGTTCTACAAGTGCTCAAGTCGTCGTCGACCGGCCAGAACAGACGCCTAGACGTGCAGAAGCTCAATGAGGCACCTGGGCGACATGCTTTCGTACAGTCTCTGTCACGCACGCTGGAGGAATTCGACGAGTCCGCAAGCAACGTGGTGGACGTCAACCTGTCATGGCGCTGCCTAGTCGATGCTTTTGGGCACGCTGCCGCCTCGAGCTTGCCGGAGCGCGCAATGCCCAAGCGGAAGCCTTGGACTGGCAGGGGCACATTGGAGTTGATTGCACGACGGGCAGAAGCACGACGGCGCGGAGACAGACAGCTGGAGTCAAATCTGGCCGAAGCAGTGCGATCGTCAGTATCTCCGGACAAAGCGGCCTGGCTGGAAGGTCTGCTGGCCGACGGCAACTGGGCCGAAGTGCGGAAGCTCAGAAAAGGGCGCTGCCCGAAGCAGGGGCGGCTTCGGGATGCCAGCGGCACGCTGGTTGAGAGCGACCGTCGCGCTGAAACGCTGGCGGAACATTTGGAGAGAGTGCAATGGGCGGTTCGTCCAACTACCCTGCTCGACGACGACGCGCCGATCAACCTGGAGCTTCACATGCACCTGGGGCCCATCACAATAGCCGAAATCAAGACGGCAGCCAAGAAGTTACGGAATGGCAAGGCCCCGGGCATGGACGACTTGTGCCCGGAGTTCTGGAAGGCTGCCACAACGGACGGGGAGGGGGCCATTGAATGGATTGCCAAATTCTGCAATTTAGTGTGGGAAGGCGGTAAAGTTCCAGACGCTTGGCATTTGTCCCGCGTGAGCATGATATACAAAAAGGGTGACCCAGCATCATGTGATAATTACCGCCCAATTAGTCTGCTGCCGATTGGGTATAAGTTGTTCGCCATGATTATGCTGCGTCGGCTCCGGGGGGCTGGCGCGGAAGAGAAGATCTGGAAGACCCAATTCGGTTTCCGATCAGGGCGGGGGACAGCGGATGCGATCTTCCTCGCCCGCCGGGTGATCGAGGAGGCATGCGCGACCAAAGGCGGAAGCGCCGTGCTGTTGGCCCTGGATTGGGCGAAGGCATTTGATTCTATATCGCCTGAAGCTCTGTCTGTGTCCCTGAAGCGGTTTGGGTGCCCAACTAAATTTGTAGATATGGTCTCCTCGATCTACAAGGACCGCAATTTCGTGGTGACGGACTTCGCAGTCGAATCCGCGGAGCACACCCAGACTTATGGCATCTGCCAGGGGTGCCCGCTATCGCCATTCCTTTTCACGATAATCATGACCACGCTGCTAAGCGACGCGCACAAGTGCCTGCAAAACCAGATCGGGGAGGCCGTCCGGGAGCACGTCATCAGCGAGCTTGTCTACGCGGACGATACCCTTCTCGTCGGCAGCAACCCCGGGACCGTCGAGACTCTTATGCAGTGCGTCGAGAAGTGTGGGGAGCATTATGGCCTCAAGCTCAATTGGCAGAAAGTGGAAATGCTCCGGGTGAGGTCTAATACCGTGATCAAGAACTCCTCTGGGATGGCAATAACGTGCAAGGAATCGTTGATATATCTTGGAACATGCCTGACAGCTGACGGCCGGATCGCAGCGGAGCTCAGCGGGCGGATAGGGGCTGCTTCCAGTGAGTTCAAGGCGCTGCATGCGGTATGGACACATTCATCACTGAGTCGCAGGCGGAAGATAGCAATATTCAATGCTTGCATTGTGTCTAAGCTGCAATATTGTTTGTTCGCCGCGTGTATGAACAAATTGGAAAGGAGGAGGTTGGACGCCTTCCAAGCCCGTTGCCTCAGAAGAATCTTGCAAATATCGCCGTCATTTCTGAGCAGTGTCTAACGCAACCGTTTTGGGTATGGCCGGACAGGGGCCGCTGAGCGAAGACATCTGCAGGCGACAGATGGAATTCATGGGACATCTTGCCAGGCGGGCAGACTCTGACCCAGTGCGCTGCTCAATATTCTGCCCTGGTGGCATCGAATTGAAGCGACGGGACGGGCCGCGGCAGCGGGGCAGGCCGAGACAAACTTGGAGCCACATGGTCATGAAGAATTGTGTCTGCTGCGGGCTCACGCGAGCGCGTTGCTGCTTTCTTCAGCCCGGATGGCGGAGCAGCGCGCGCGTGGAAACAGCAAGTTAATGCATGGCATTTGAGTGCGTAACTGTGTCTCTCATCTCTCCTTTTCCTCCTCCTCCTCCTTCTCCTCCTCCTCCTCCTCCCTCCGCGTGTTTAGCACGCGCGGCCGATGCCAATACAGCACGCCCCGCTCATGAGCAGTTTTTCTTTTGGCTGCTCACGGTCTCACCCTGCTCGCGCGCTGTCCGGACGCAAGGCTACTGAACTGAACTGAACGTGGGTACCCACTGTGCTGGGCCCCCCAGCAGCCCTCGAAAGTGGCAACAATTTCACAGATCGCAGCCCCCCAGGGATGGCGAGGTCCAGTTTGAGTCCGCCGTGTGTACCCACTGTGCTGGGCCCCCCAGCAGCCCTCGAAAGTGGAGACAGTTTCGCAGATCGCAGCCCCCCGAGGATGGCGAGGTCCCATTTGAGTCCGCCGTGTGTACCCACTGTGCTGGGTCCCCCAGCAGGCCTCGAAAGTGGTGACAGTTTCACAGATCGCAGCCCCCCAGGGATGGCGAGGTCCAATTTGAATCCGCCGTGGGTACCCAATGTGCTGGGCCCCCCAGCAGCCCTCGAAAGTGGCGACAGTTTCACAGATCGCAGCCCCCCAGGGATGGCGAGGTCCAATTTGAATCCGCCGTGGGTACCCTCTGTGGTGGGACCCCCAGCAGCCCTCGAAAGTGGCGACAGTTTCACAGATCGCAGCCCCCCAGGGATGGCGAGGTTCAATTTGAGTCCGCCGTGGGTACCCACTGCGCTGGGCCCCCCAGCAGCCCTCGAAAGCGGCGACAGTTTCACATATCGCAGCCCTCCAGGGATGGCGAGGTCCAGTTTGAGTCCGCCGTGGGTACCCACTGTGCTGGGCCCCCCAGCAGCCCTCGAAAGTGGCGACAGTTTCGCAGATCGCAGCCCTCCAGCTGGCACGCAGCGACGAGCGAGGTAAAAGGCAGGGGGGAAGAGAGGGGCGGGAAGGAAGGAAGGAAGGAGACGCGCGAGCAGTGCTCTATTCAAAACGAGAACCCAACGCAGGAGGGTTGGGAATACCTGCTTCTCTGCACCCGTGCCCCCCCCAAGAAAAAACTTACCATGGGTGTAGCAGCGTACGCGTGCACTCCATCCTCCACCTCCTCCTGCTGCTGCTCCTCTTCATCCACCTCTTCATCCTCCTCCTCCTCGACCTCCTCCTCTTCTTCTTCTTCTTCCTCCTCCTCCTCCTCCTCCCTCTCTCCTTCTTCCTCCTCCTCCTCCACCTCCTCCTCATCGTCTTCCTTCTTCTCCTGCTCCTCATCCTTCTTCTCCTCACCCTCCTCCTCCTCCTCCTCCTCCTCCTCCTCCTCCTCCCTGCTTCTCCTCCTCCTCCCCCTCCGCCTCCGCCAACTCCGCCTCCTCTTCTTCCTCCTCCTCCTTCTCCTTTTCCACGTCCTGCTCCTCCTCCTCCTCCCCTTGTTCCCCTTCCTACCTCCCCTCCACCTCCACCTCTGCTCCTTCTTCTCCTCCTCCTCCTCCTCCTCCTCCTCGGTTAGCGAACTATCGCCAGACCAGAGTCACGTGCGTGAACTTCGGGAGGGCTCGAGAGCACCCTGAAATCTGAGATTTCGCTGCCATGGCCGTGCTACCTCCTCTGGTCCTCACCCGTCATTCTAAGAGATCCGATGCACTGCTTTGATCAGCTCGAAGTCCACGAAGACGTGACCCTCTCCCCCCCCGGCGCCTGCCGTTCCCCGACGACCCCTGGGCCCGGCGAGGGCCCCCGGAGCCCGTAACTGGCCAGCGAGCATTGACTGTGTGCTTTGTTTTGTGAACGTTGTAGATCTGGGGCTCAACGTCCCCTCCTCCTCCTCCTCCTCCTCCTCCTCCCCCTGTTCGTCCTCCTCCTCCTCCTCCTCCTCCTCCTCCTCCATCCTCCTCCTCCTCCTCCATCGTCCCCGTGAAGGGGGAACGATAGGGGGGGGTCTGGCTCAAGGGGGGGGCATCGAGGTCGAACCGGCGATACATCAACGACAGATCGGCGACAGGCCCCAGACAGCGAAACCGCACGCTACCAGGCGAGGCGGGGGAGCATACCCCTGTCCGCGGTCACTTGGCAATGGGTGGACGATGCCCCCCCCCCCTCCTGAGCTTTCCCCCTGGCTTTCGGGCCATGCATCGAGTCCCTGGCAGCCCTTCAGGGCGATCCAGACACCCACGGAACGCTCTCGGCGAGGCGCAGCTGCTGCAAGGTATGCCGAGGCTGGAGAGCCGCCCAGAGACAAGGAACGTGTCCGAACACCACCCCCGAGCCTGTCCCCAACCCCGAATGCTACCCCTGACCACTCGGGGTGGCCACCAGGAGCCTACCACCCCCACGCAAGGCCCCCGACTGGGGCTCGACTTCGAGTCGACCAGGGGTCTGAGCTGGTTGCGCCCATAGGATATTGGTCAGGAAGGGAGGGGTCGAAACCGACGGCCAGCCGTGGCAACGAGGGGTACCCTGTCCCACCCCTTTGCAGGCAGGGGGGGATAAGGCCAAATCCACTCAAGACCTGTCCCCAGACACCTCGCGGGGTCCACCAAGGCAAATTAGACGCCCCCCGACCCCCTGCCAGTCCTCCGACACCTCGGGCTGCTTGCTCTGCGCGCCCGCGTCAGGGCCCGAGGACGACGCCGCCGCGGAGTTCTGGGGGAACAGGGGCGCGCTCCTGCGTCGGACGGCGTAACGGCGACCACGACCACGCCCACGGCCACGACCACGACCACGACGACGACAACGACGACGCCAACGCCGACGCCGACGACGACGCCGACGCCGACGCCGACGACGACGCCGACGCGACCGCCACCAACGCCGCCGCCGCCGCCGCCGACGACGGACAACCACCACCGCGGCGACGACGACGCCGCTGACGGCGACGACAACCAGGGGGGTGCTAATGAAGGGGGCCCTGGGACACACAAATAAATAGACACAAATAGCAGGATTCCTCCATATTGTCCATTTGGCGACGACGACGACGCCGTCGTCGTCGTCGGCGTGACCCGTCCGCCCGCGCGGGCGCCCGCGCGGGCGCCTCCGGCCGTCGAGCGCGCGGTCGCCTGGCCCAGGGCGCGCGCCGCTGCTCGTGCTCGTCCCCGAGCTGGCCCTTCCGCTCCCCTCCCCCACCCCCGAAGCTCCTCCTCCTCCTCCTCCTCCTCCCCGTCCTCCCTCATCCTCCCGCTCCTCGTTCTCCTACCGCTCCCCCTCCTCCTCCTCCTCCTCCTCCTCCTCCTCCTCCTCCTCTCTCCTCCTCCTCCCTCCTCCCCTGTTCGTCCTCCTCCTGCTCCTGCTCCTCATTCTCCTCCTCGTTCTCCTCGTTCTCCTGTTCTCCTCCTCCTCCTCCTCCTCCTCGACCTCCTCCTCGTTCTCCTCGTTCTCCTTCTCCTCCTCCTTCTCCTCCCCTCGTTCTCCAGCCCATGTCCTCCACCCCTCCTCCTCCTCTCCTCCTCCTCCTCTCTCCTCCTCCTTTTGCTCCTCCTCATGTTGCTCCTCCTCCTCCTCCTTTTGCTCCTCCTCCTCCTCCTCCTCCTCCTTATCCTGCTCCTCCTGGACCTCCGTTCCCTCCTCCTCCTCCTCCTCTTCCTTCTCCTGCTCCTCCTGGACCTCCGTTCTCCCTCGTGCACCTTCTGAGCGGACTTCTCCTCCATTCCCTGCCTCCCCTCTCCCGTCTCCAGTTTTTCTCCTCCTTCTTCTTTTCCACCCTCCCGTCTCAGAAATCCGACGTCGCGACCGCTTCAGGTCGTTAACCCCAAGCCCTCTCGAGCACATCCTTTTGCTGGAAATCAGCATGGGTGAATAATTGCAGCTGCAAGTGAACGACGAACAGAAACGGGTCTGACGCACGGTGGTATGGCATGGCGGCCTCACGCGGTGGCTTACGCGGACCGCCAGCGCGGCAAGCTGCATTGGAAACGAGGGCGCTTACGTTAGACCTCACGCGGGCAGCTTACGCGCGAATGCCCGCGCAGTCCGACCAGCTCTGCTACGCCGCCCAAATTGGAGGCGAAGCTCAGAGACCAGGAGGCGCAGGACGTGCGCTTCAGGTGCCCGGCGGGCCACCCGCTCGTCCTCGGCAGAGTGGCCGCCACAGAGGGGGGCGACACCAGCGCCGAAGGCGCAGGAGGAGCGGCCCCAAAGCCCAAAAGAGCGCCTAGACAGCCACCCTGGCCCCAAGAGGTGCTGGAGAGGTTCGCCCTCCGTCACCCCACGTTTCGGTGCACGTTCTGCGGCTGCTACTCATGGGAGCCTCCCATACCGTAGTGTTGGCTCTTGCGAATCGACGCTCGTCGACGCGAATCGACGCCAAATCGACGCTAGCCGACCCACAATCGATGCAAATCGACACTAAGCGACTCCCACACGGCACTATCTCATCGATTACCAGATGCTCATCGACGCTAACGCACTCTCAATACAGAACTACGTGGTACACAAGGCTCCCATGCCTTGCTAACAAAGTTTACCCCAAGCGTCCTCCAAGGTCGCTCCTCGCAAGCTTTTGTTTATCGGGGGTTCGGGGATCTGCTGACCCGGGACAGTCCAAACCAGGGGCAGTCAGGCTTTGCAGGATCCTGCAAGGTCCTGCAGGATCCTGCACCGAAGACTGGGTCAGTGCGACCCTGGCTCTGCAGGAGCCTGCAAGATTCGCCGCTCTGACCCCCGTCTCTCGAGCCCCGAGGTGGTTTCCGGGGAAATTGACCGGGACTTCCGGGGACCGCGTATAAAAAATCCGCCGACACTGTCGGCGTGTGACAGGGGCTGTTCCGTCGCCGTCGCCGTCGCTGCCGCCGTCGCCGTCGCCGGGGCTTCCGGGGACCGCGTATTGAAGATGTCAATACGTTGCATGTCCAGCCCCCGCCCCGCGCCGCTCCGACCGACGGCCCGTTCTGACTCCCGGCGCTCTGACCCCCTCACAGTGCGTCCTCTGGGGGAGACTCCACCTGCTGGAAACAGATGCCAAAAACAGGCTTGCGGCAAGCTCTACTTCCCCGGGGGGACGGGGGGGGGGAGGGGGGGTGCGCGAAGGCCCGCGCCGATCGGCACAGCAGTGAGTAAACAAAGGACCACGAGCCTGCAAGATCCGGCGCTCTGACTGACCCCCGTGTGCAGTGACCCCCGTCTCTCGAGCCCCGGAGGGGGCTTCGCGTCGGCCCCTGGGGGGGCCCAAGGCAGGCCCACGGAGGCCTCGCCCTCTCCCCCTGTCGCGGCGAGAGAAATGCCCGGGGCCTCCCGTGAAAGGCGGCCCTCGTCCTGGGCCGCGCTCTGGCCCCCCGCTCTCGTGGGAGTGTTTCGAGCCGGCCCGAAGCAGGCCCACAGACGCCTCGTCCTCTCGACCCGTCGTGGCGGGAAGAGGTCTGGGGTCTCCCAATCAAAGGCGACCTTGCCCTGGGATGCGTTCGAGCCGGATCCAGCCGCGGCCACGGCAGCAAACTCCAGGCCCAGGCCCCCGAGAGGAGGCAATAACGCCAACGCGGGACCTCAAGGGGTTTCGACCAACTTCCACAGGACAGTTTTCTCACACCGCCTCCTGCTCCTCTTCCTCGTCCTCGTCCTCTTCCTCGTCCTCCTCCTCCTCCTCGTCCTCCTCCTGCAAATTCCGAAGGCCCTGTAAGATCCTCCGGCCGGGAGGCTGCAAGTCGGCCAACAATCCGTCGACGTGTGTTCTGTCACGACTCGAGGGGGTCTGGCCGTCGGGTCACGACTCGAGGACCCCAGCGGCCATTCGAGACGACTCGGGCACCCTGGCGACGCCCTCTCGACGAGGCGCAGCTGCCGGAGAGTATCCCGACGCTGGCAGGCCTCCAGCAAACCACGAACGCGTCCGAAACACTGGGCGCGAACGAATGGGGGGCGATTAAATGGGTGGGGGGAAGGAAGGTGCCCTCTTCGTGCCCTAGTGGCCCCCTTCTGGGTCCAAAAAAAAATCCTTTTGGGGCCCGAAGCGGCCCCTTTTCTCGGCAGTCCTCGCTGCCCCATCCATTGGCCGCCCCCCCCAAAAATTGATCCCCGACTAAACAAATTGGTCCCGACCCTGCCCTCCTTTGGTTGGGTTCTCGTTTTGAATAAAAAAAGGTGGGGTGCCGACTCCCTTCTCCTCCTCCTCCCGCCCTCTGTCCCCCTCTCGACTGCCTGCACCTGCCTGCTGGGGGAGCCCGCACAGTGGGGCCCAACGCACACCCAAACAGGACTTCGCCATTCCTGGGGGGCTGCGAGGTGTGAATCTGTCGCCTATCTCGGGGGCTGCTGGGGGAGCCACCGGAGAGGGCCCCACGGGAACCCAAACGGGACCTCGCCAACCCTGGGGGGCTGCGAAGTGCGAACCTGTCGCCAGCTTCGCGTCCTGTTGGGGGAACCAACACAGTTGGGCCCCACGCGCACCCAAACCGGACCTCGCCATCCCTGGGGGGTGGGCTACCAAGTGCGAAAGTGTCGACGATTTCGGGGGCTGCCGGGGAGATCTGCACAGTGGGGCCCCACGCACACCCAACCGGGACCTCGCTATCCCTGGGAGGCTGCGAAGTGTGAAACTGTCGCCAATTTCGAGGGCTGCTGGGGGAACCCGCAAAGTGGAGCCCCACGCACACCCAAAGGGGACCTCGCCATCAGGCCCTGGGGGGCTGCGAAATGTGAAACTGTCGCCAATTTTGAGGGGGGACCCATACAGTGGGGACCCACGCACACCCAAACGGGACCTCGCCAACCCTGGGGGGCTGCGAAGTGTGAAGCTGTCGCCAATTTCGAGGGCTGCTGGGGGGCAACGCAATGGGGGCCCACCCACGTCCAAACGGGACCCCGCCATCCCTGGGGGGGCTGGGGGAGCTAGCACAGTGGGGTCCAGCGCAGAGCCAAACGGGACCTCGCCATCCTGAGGGGGGGGGTGCGAATTCTCACGGTCGCCAGTTTCAAGAACTGCTGGGAGAGCCAGGGGACCTCGCCATCCGTGGGGGAGGGGCTGCTAAGTGTGAAACGGTAGCCACTTTTGAAGGCTGCGTGTGGGGGGCAGCACGATGGGGTTCCACGCTGACCTCGAGGACCTCGCCATTTCTGGGGGGGCTGCGCAGTGTGAAGCTTAGGCGGTTTTGAGGGCTGCTGGGTCCCACGCAGATGCGGAGGGAGGGGTGGGTGAGGAGGAGATGGAGGAGGAGGATGAGAAGGAGGCGGAGGAAAAGGCCGAGGAGGACGACGAGGAGGAGAGGGAAGAGAGGGAGGAGGCGGAGGAGGAGGAGGAGGAGGAGGAGGAGGAGGAGGAGGAGGAGGAGGAGGAGGAGGAGGAGGAGGAGGGAGGAGGCGGAGGCGGAGGAGGAGGAGGAGGAGGGGAGGAGGAGGAGGAGGAGGTGGAGGACGAGAGGAGGAAGGCGAGGGAGACGGGGGAGAAGGACGATGAGCGAGAGGAGAAGGGGGAGGATGAGGATGAGGATGAGGATGAGGAAGAGGAGAAGGAGGAGGAGGTGTTAAGCATTTTCGGCATGGAAAAACGTTACACCTCATTGTCTGACTGCTCCTGCCGAGGTGATTGTTATTCCACCCCGATGTGTTCCTTATGTTTCGCCTTCCCAAGAGAATCATCCTCCCGGCCCGTTTGTACCTCTGTTCTGCGAGTCGGCCACGCACATCTCGCACGATAGAGATATCCGCCGTGCACCGTCTCTTGCAGCAGTGCTGCTGTCACTACTGTCTAGACGAGCGCGTTCGACTACTCGCAAAGTCACTACTGGCAAATGGGCTGGATCCCCCGCGGAGGATCTACGACAAATCACATCAAAGCGGACACTTGCTTTTCGGACGCTTGCGAGTAGGCACTGCGCTCGGTGATTGTTGGCACACCTTATAGCATCCCTTGGTGCCGATGGGTTGGGTACGTCGCAAGGTGGCGCTCTCTTGTGTTTCTCCAGCGGCCCTCCCGGGCCATCCTCGAGCCATCCTGAGGCCTCGGATGGCCATCGGAAGCGAAAGGCGAGCATGCAACATACCATTGTTTGTCCGAAAGGTTCTGGGCGGATGTTGGCTTCGAGGCCTCTGTGGAGGTCTAATTTCGGCTGGTTGGCCTGGGACCGAAACCGACGAACCTGGACCCGCGAAAATGACGGCCGCGACGCCCTCTCGCGAACCGAAAACGGCCAATCAATTCGCTAATCGACTTGTCAAGGTAGGAGGTCTGTCCACCCCCGATTTTGTCGGTACACCTTATAGCATCCCTTGGTGCCGATGGGTTGGGTACGTCGCAAAGAATTTTTGGCTGATTGGCCTCGGGGGGGCTGCCCAGGCTGCGGTGAACGGGCAGGGGGCGACCTCCCCAGCCGAAGAGGAGGGCGGATCTCGGCGGGCGCAGCGAGGCCCGCCGCAGGAAGCAGAGCCGCCCGGATGTATAGGTTTAAATCCTCTCTCTCTCTCTCTCTCTCCCCCTTATATATATAAAAAGAAAGAGAGAGAGAGAGAGAGAGGGAGAGAGAGAGAGAGAGAGAGAGCGAGAGAGAGAGAGAGAGAAACAAAGAACCGTTTTTGGGAATCGGCGATAATCCGGGTTATCTCGGGGGGGAAGGGGAGGAGGAGGGAGCCGGCCGATAACCTAACCCTCGCGCTGTGGGCAACCCTGCATATGCCCGCGTCCCCCCTTCCCGCAGAGACAGAGCTGTAGAGAGAGAGAGAGAGAGAGCAAGAGAGAGAGAGACAGAGTGAGAGACCCGAGGGCGAAGGGCGGGCGAATCCATCATCCATGAATTTCAGGAAGTCGGCGGCAAGCGAGGGGGGGGGAGCGAGAAGGAGAAGGCCTTCTCCGAAGGCGCCGGGCCTTTTCAGAAGCCCTCGCGCCTTCTGAGGGTTATGCTGCGTCTTCGGGGAGGGCTCAGGAAACTTCTGAGAGGGACAGGATACTTCCGAGCCTTCTGAGAAGGCCGGCCCCTTTTCACTTCCACCACGGGCTGGCCGCCGAATCCCGCGAACCTCAAGAAAGGAGTGCCTGGCCGAGGCCGCGCGTCCGAAGACCTGGACCCACGAACAAGCAAAAGCAGAACTGCTTTTTCGCTGCG